CTTTTTTTTTTTCTTTTAAAAAACGTATTCCATCTTCTGAGTGATGAAAGTAAAACACACACACACTGTCACACACTGTCATTCTGTCATTGATTACATGCTTTTTATCATCTTAAAACTTTATCATCAGCTTGCCAAAGTGCAAATAAAAGACATTTTCTTTAATTCGTTCCTCTTTGCTTTTATTGTAATTGTTGTTGTTGATACCGCGTTATTGTAATTTGAAAATTAAATGCATTTTACAAAATTTATATAATAAAATGCATCCTTGTGCGTTGCTGCTTTGACCCAATTCTTCTTCTTCTTCTATTGATGTTTGTTGTTCCTTTTGAAACAGATTTATTTGATTATGTAATGAAAGTAAAACGAAAAGTTTTGCATTTTTCGGAAAGGAAAAGCAAATAATAATTTGATTACAATAGAGTATTATCGGTAAATGCAAATGATGATTGCAAATCTCCAAGGCAATGATGACCTAATTATCTATAATTATGTATGATGCGGTACATATATATATATATATATGTGATGGAAATGAAATCGGAAGATAAAAGTAAACCCAATAACCTTTCGAACGCAAGCGAATGCAAGAAAGCCTCATAAAACTAGTTGGGATATATCCTTTTCTCATTGTGGTTATTGTTGTTGTTGTTGTTGTTATTATTGTTGCTGCTGCTGTTGTTTAATTACAGCAAACAGTATCGGTGCCTTACTAAGTACAAACAACATGAACGGCATGATGATGATTATTGTCAATCAAATGCGTTCTTCGTCTCATATAAAAGTGTTTCGTCAATAGTAATTACAGCAAATTATTTGGACAATTGCCACAAATTTTTACCGCAATCACAACAACATGAGCAAGAACACTAATAACAACAACAATTACAATGGCAATGAGAAGAAATATCAAATGTCCCACAATTACACTATAGTTTCTCTCAATTACTTTTCTTGCGTGCAGTAGTTTATCATTGATTATTTCCTTGTTTCATCCTTTTTACTCCCCATTATTCATTTTGTCGAAACGTTTTTAACGCCCGCCCTCAAGTATTCATATCCTTGAATCGGGCATCAAATTCTAAATCGATTTAAGCATGTCCGTCAGTCCATCTGTGTATCTATGTGTCCGCCTGTCCGTCTTTCTGCTTTCTGCCGTCTTTGTGCCTGTCCGTCTGTCCAATATCAGTCCTAAACATACACCTGGTCGGAAAAATGTAGCTATCGACTTCAAAATTGAGCCAAAAAAGTTGGGCCAAAACGGGCCAAGTCGATCCAAGGACATGCTCACAGTACTACGTAAACTGAGAACATCTCTGTGTTTCAAAAGGAAGGAAGCCCAGTACTCATAAACTATAGCAGATAAATGTACAAAAATTTGAATGCTTATGCTATGATCGATGCTGTAGCACTTGCATTGGAAATTGGTATGGAACAAATTGACCACGCCCACCCAATATTATATCAAAGTATCAAAGTTTAATTTTTTTCAATAACTTTATAAAGCGGAGAAGCAAGTTTCAATGATCCTATAAAGTATATAAATTTTTGACAATTTTCAAATTTGAATTGCACCTAAACGCATCCGGGTGCTCGTCTGTCCATCTAACTGTTTGCGTAGTACTGCGTGGTAAATATTCTCCCTTTAGCGAAAATGAAGATATTGCTTTAACGCCCACAAGCCTATGCGACAAAAAGTTTCATTTTGAAGATAGAAAAAATTAGCCACGCCCATTTCATATTCTAGAGCATAAAAATGTAGTTTCATTTTTGGTCTTTGGCGTAGATGAAAATATAATTTTCTTAGGTGTTACCTTTGTTTGTGTAAACCGCAACCAAAGATGGATAATTTTCGGTTATCCTATACGCTATAGCATTTAAACAATGTTGTGTAGCATAAAGTAAAGCGTACGGATGCAGTGTAAATTGCACTTTGTTAAGACAATCGAAATTTGATCGCTTCAAAACCAAGCTTTACCTTTATGCAACCAGCAGCAATACTTTTATCTTTTTTTTTTTTTTTGAAAATCTTGGCTACAGCAACGGCAACGGCAGCAGCAGCAGCAGCAGCAATTGCCGCATCTGCTCTGCAGTAACAGTAGCAATAGAAGCAGCAATTTACACTTGATTTGATTTTATACGATATTCAAACACAGTTTGTATATGCAAGAAATCAAACAAATTTTATGCAGGTTTTCCTTTTTCTTTCTTTTTCGATCACTTAACAGAAAGACAAAAAAAAAAAAAAAAACGAAAAGAAGCAAATCTATGTCAACAGAATTAAATTGAAATAAATTTGAAAAACTTCAAATAAATTTAAAAATTAAAACGTCTTTCAAACACATACAACATATATAATAATAATAATAATAATAAAAAAAAAAAAAACTAACTAATCCCTCCATTAAGCGATTAGCTTAGTAGATTTATTATATCAAGGCATGACCATGAAACTATGAGTTTTAACTGCAATTTTCTTTATAATGCCAGTCCGTTTAATTGAGTGCACGACTTCCTAAGTGACATCACGAAACCCATATCACAAGCATGCTGGTTATGCTGGTTGGACAAGCCCAAATTTGAAGACTCAGAAAGAAACCAGATGTTAAGCAAGTCCATTCTTTGTTGCATTAGTTCAGCCTGCGCGCGATTTCGTTATCAAAGCCTTTGCTCGTTCACCTTCACATGACAAATCTTAATATAACTCGTTTAGCTATCATGTAGTTTATGCTGTTCCTACCATCCTAAGCGAATGTTCGTTAAACAGTCTCAAGAGCGTTTCGATCATCCATTTTAATGCCATTGTCACTATGGTGCTTACCTCGCATACACCTATTAAAAATCTCACTATACTTTGACTACAGTCGGTTTGTGTGTCACACTTGCTTATATCGTTTCTATCATCGCGATCGAAACGCCTGTGTCCTATTATCTACTCTTCAAGGCTAACTCGACTGTAAGACTGTAAAGCCCGAAGCCTCGATGCGGTGTACACTTTGTCATTTTTGTCATCAATATGTCATTGACGTCATTAGATTGTAATTTTATAAATGATATCATAAGCATGGTATTAACTTTTAATACTTAAATGGATTAATAATTCGACTTTATTTCTATTTTTAAAGAGGTAATGATTGGACTATTCTTCCAAATCCTAGCTAGTGTTTTCGATAACATTGTTGCTTTAACAGCTTATAGTCTTTAGTAAGGATAGCTCTCACTTGCTTACTGCCAACAAGTACTTACTAAGCATTTATCTTTGATTGGAGAACCATCATCGTTCAATTAAATTTTGCTAATAATATTTTTATTCGACATTATTTAAGAAAAAAAAAACAAGTGAAAGTGGTCCGGAAGCGAACCATTTTCAATATAGTGCATCCTTGAACCAAATCATGTCCAGGTGTATCAAATTTCATCAAGATATTCCAAAATTTGCGAACAACAAGACGGACTGACAAACATAAATCGATTCAGAAAGTGATTCACATACATGAAAACAAGACGGGCGGATAGGCAGACAGACGAGTTTAGATCAGTTAGAAAGTAATTCGAGAGGTGATTCTGAAACGCTCGGTGTAATAAGAGATGCATCTATCACAAGCCTTTCTGGGTATTACGTCCAACAGAGCTTAACTTATCAAATGCACTAACAAGCACAAGAAAACAGGACGGGCGATTGGACGGACACACAAACTTAAATCGATTCAAAAAGTAATTCTGAATCCATCGGTATAATAAGAAAAACATCTATCTCAAGCCCCTCCCGCTGTTATATTCATTCAAACTTAACTTAACAAACGGACAGACAGACTTAGATCGACACAGAAAATGACTCAGACACACGAAAACAAGATGTATGGATGGACAGACAGACTTAGATCGATGCAGAATATGATTCACACCCAAGAAAACAAGATGTATGGATGGACAGACAGACTTAGATCGATTCAAAAAGTGATTCACAAACATGAAAACCAGAAGAACGATTAGGTCGATTAAGAAAGTGATTCAGAACGTGATTGCGAATCGACAAATGTAATAAGAGATGCATCTATCCCAAGCGGTTCTTAACAGACGGACACATAAGCTTAGATCGGTTCAGAAAACAGTTCACACACAAGAAAACCATGGGGACAGTTGAACAGGCAAGCTTAGAAGATGATTCTGAATCGATCGGTACAAGAAAAGATGAATTTATATCAATTTTGTGCCATAATTGTTGTAGGATATAAAAAGTGAAATTTTCTCTTCTATAAAAGTAATTCGTATTTATATCTATGCTTCAGCAATATTTTAATAAAAATAAATTCTCTCTGCTAACTGGGTTGAAAAAGCAAAAAAAATGAAAGGAGAAATGCACAAAAAAAAAAAAAAAGGAAAGAGAAAGAGAAAGAGAAAAAAACCAAACCGAAACTCTATTTACATTTTACATAGATACGTTAAGATAAAATTTTTAATAAAATTTTTCAATTTTTTTTATTTTTTCATTGCAGGTACGTAAATGTATATGTGCAAGAAACGGGAGAACAAAAGGAATAAAAATATGAAAAGATGATGTGTAACAATAACACTTTTTCAATATTCTAACAAATACAAAAAAAAAAAAAAAAAAAAAAAAAAAAAAAAATAGTAGGAGAAGGTAAGTTCCCTCTTTAGGTATGTATGCATTTCCAGTAGGAAGAAAAAACAAAAAAAAAGCAAGACATAACGTGTAAAAGGAAAAAGCCTCTCAGACACTTATGTATAGATTTCCGTCCATTGCCTGTAACTCGGTTTACTTACTCGCTTTACTCGATTTAAGATGAATCTTAAGGAATATGAAACTTTTCCTCTTTTTTTTTTTTTGTTGTTTTCTGTTTCATATATAAAATGCAGAAAATTTATTAAAAAAAAAAAAAAAAAACGTGACAAAGTGTTTAAAATTTTTATTATTATAAAATGGGGGAAACAAATTTTTTTTGTTTTTTTGCTTTAAAAAGAAAAAAAAAATTATTATTATTATTTTTATTATTATTATTATGATTATTATTATTAGTGAAGACTATAAGGAAAAAAGTTATCACTTTAAGCTTATTGGCAACATGTTTATCTGCATCATCCTTTACATATGCTTTTATGCAGAAAAAAAAAAAAAAAAACCTATTGAAATAAAGCAGCAACATAAAGCAACATTGTCTGTGCATAGAAAGCGGTAGAGCGGTAGCAAACAACAAAAAGAGAAACGTTAGAGGTAAGGTATAGTGTTTACTATGCATTAAACATGCAACTCTGTTTCTTCTTATCGCGTCATTCTTCTTGCTGTAGGAGAAACAATCAAACACAAAATATTTTTTACATATATTATATATGTTGTTTGCATTTCATTTTTTTTTGTTTTGTTTTTCACTCACTGTACCAATGTTCATGTTGCTCACTTTCTAATATGTATTGTTGTTCGCTAAAATCCCCTCAACAAATACAAAATAGAAAACGCTTGTATGTATATTTCTCTTCCTAACCGCATACTAACACATAAGTGTGTATGTTTATGCGTTTATATGCGTTTGCATCTGTGTGTGTGTGTGTGTATGTGTGTGTGTGTATGTTTATGTGTATGTTTGCTTACAAGCACTTAGACATGCTTTACTATCGCATATTATCATCACTGAAGAGCACTTTACTGTTTTGAATGGAAAAAGGAAAGAAAAAAAAAAAAAAAGAGAAAAAAAAAACATCATAAAAAACCTACAAATTTGCTGACATTCTCATTTCGAATTATTTTATACTCAAACGTTACACATACATGATTACTCGCATCGATAATATCTGGGAGATGATAAGGTGAGTTGTGCATATAATATTGTTTATATTCTACTCAATCATTTGATGTCTACAATACATCCGTCGAGCCGCTAAAGATATTTTGCTGTCAGCATAAATTCATTTTGCTACAGATCATTAATAATTCTTTTGTTGATGTTCTTAAATACAAAACGCAAGAGCATGAAAGCAGCAACAGCCAGCAGTAGAGCATTACAATTATTACAAACTTACATTTATAATCTCACTGCTCGAAGGCAATGAAAATTTGCTATGCTTTCCTTAGATTCTTCTACAAAAAAAAAAAAAACTTAAAATAATTTTTTTTTTTTTTTTTTTTTTTTTTTTTAAAACTTAATTTCAATTAAAGACAACCAAGGAAATTACATTCAACTGTGACCGAATCTTCATCATATCCATCATTGCATCTATCTATCTTATGCTGTTAAGAGTTGTTGTGATTATTTTTTTTTTTGCTTCGTATGGAATTTGATTGCAGTTGGGTGTCTGATATAAAGAAATAATGACCCATTAGACGGCTCTCACTTTTAGTAGAGTAAAAGTGATCTTACCGGTCCATGGTTGCATTTCATTGTCCATGGCTGGCGTTTGCAGACTCGCAGATAATCTGTATGAGTAAGCGAGTAGATAAGAATCGCGATCACTAACTCGGTGTTCGTCCCCGTCACGTACCCCTTTCAGGCAATGCGGAGTTAACACTTCACGGCAGGCAGTTATATGAAACAAAAAGAAGTATCTATACATCATAAATACCGTTATTTTTATTCTTATTGTTAATGATAGTAATTATAATTGAAAAATAATAAGTAAAAACATCTCTAGTGGGTCCCGGCGCACCATTAAATACCCTACACAACCTTGCAGTTAGTCATATGACAACTTTTCACAATAATGCCTTATATGGGAAGCGGTCGCAAAAGTTTTCCAATTCCACTCAATGTACCAAAATTCGTTCAAAATATCACAAGACAAGCTTAAAGTGATTCTGAAAGCGATTCTGAAGCGATAGAGCCCAAAGTCTTGCTGAGTTTTGCATACATTTTCGTATTTTTATATGTAATTCGTTCTGGAAATTTTTATTGATTCCAATTTGTAATTCTATCAACTGACAAACCAATTGTTTTTGGTCATATCGAGGAGGAAGGAACGATTCCTAGTAACTATATTTTTATAACGCTTCCTCCATGTCTGTTCCTCCTTCCAGCTGCTATAAGAGTTCTCGAACTTTGAGAAATTGAGGAAGAAAGTTAAAACTCATTGAATACAGCCATACGTGCTTTTGAAAACATTATACAAAGATGGGCATAGTCAGCCCACAATAACTAAAATATTCTGAAAATACCAAGAATTACTTGAAAGTATATTTTCTAAGAATCTTTAATATGCAGCAAGCAGTAAGCCATTAAACAGCCTACACTACACCACTTCGTTTAATATAGTTGCACATGCGACGATTTTTTAAAATAAGGATTTATAGAGAGATGGTTCGAAAAAGTGGTCCGTTCGTTCTTTAGCCAAAATATATCTTTGCACAAAATTTCAGAAAAATTTCTCAAAAATTCCGGTCAATGAGTTAAACACAAGAATACAAGACGGACGGACGGATGGACGGACGGACAGACAGGCAAAGAAGCTTAGATCGATTTAAAAATCTTGTTTTTTCCCGGTACAATAAAAAACGGACCTATCTCAAGTCTTTCGAAGTGCTGCGTGCATCCACAAAAACATAATGTACCCATAATGTACCCAGAGGTGTAAGATATAAAAACTAAAAGCCCACAAGGGATAAAAAAGGAATACGCAAATTTATATCTTTTTAGTTTATAACTAATCAGCAAGAAAAAAAAAAAAGGTTTTTTTTTCTTTTTTTGTTCTTGAAAGCAGACTTGTTATGAGTTTACGCTACATTGCCGCCACGTTCTTGAACTGCATGCAACAATTTCCGATGTTGTTGTCAAATTTGAAGTCCATAGTTTCATTCTTGCGACGACCGTGCTAGCTTAGCTAATAATTTTTATGTAAGAAGTCTATTTGTCCGTCCCTCTTTACGCTTTCTCGATAACATTTATATCGCTTAAGAAGAAATGAAACTGACAATGACTTAAAGCTATGGATGAGACATACCCCATCTTACATTATAAATTTGATTTGCAAACATTATAATAACAAAACTCCAATCGACGGAACATTATTTAAAGTAATAACGGGAACAAATTACTTACATCTTTCAAAGAAATTGAATGAAAGCTAACGGAAGGGAAGAATCAATTTTTTGCAAAGAACGAACGATTTTGAAAGGAACGATTTTGAAGGGTTCTCTTGCAATCGTCAAATTGTAAGAATTACTTTATAATTGGAAAATACACCATACTCACCTATCCCCTTCTGTTATTGCTTGGACTCCGAACTTGAAGAAATTTTTCTTTTTGAAACATTTGTCATTGTTTGGACTCCTGTGTAGTCAAGTAGATAAAGACCACGACTATCATATCAGCAGACCCGTATGCATGCGAAGGAGTATACATCCTACTGGCTACGCTACACTCTACCTCACATCTCCTTCTTACTGACCATTATCGCGTTTATACACATATACAATGGCCATTCCCGGAGTGATGACCACTAGAACTAAATTTCTATACTCCATAATATTAGGTGGGCGTGGCTATCTGTTAGAATAAAAGTAGAAATTTATATCGCGTATCGCGTTGTAGTTTATTAGGAACGAGTAAAAAGCAACAAAGGTGTTTTCAGTTCTTGTTGCATAGGCGTGCGATCGTAGTAGGCGTACTACATGGATACTACAAATTTGAGCGCACGGACAGATGGACAATCGAATAGCAGGTCATGCTTAAGACCACGCCGAATCTGATCAAGAATGCGAATGTCTTGTGGAGTTTTTGAAGCTTGGTTATCCGCTGTACGCAGATTTTTTGACAAAGAAATAAAATTTTGATACACTATAATTTTGAGTGGGCGCCGTCGAATTTTTCCATTTTCGCCCAGGTTCTATAATATCGCCCAAAGAATATGCTTTCAAATTTTAGTTAAGTTTATCTGCTGTAGTTTGTGAATAGTTAAAAACAGAAAAGTTCTGAACGTACCTGTTACTGCCGCAAATGCTTCGACCAACTTAGCCCATTTTCAATACCAGTCTTCTTGGAAAACCTTTCAATGTTTCTGCCAAACTGGAAGTCGATAGCTTCATTTTTACGGCCAGGGGAATGTTTACAACAGGCATTACATACAGACAGACAGACGGAATTTAATGCTGTTCAAGAATATTTATACTTTAAACAATCTCTGAAAATTCTTTCTGCCTGTTTCAAAGGTTTCCTTCAATGATGGCTACAAAAAAAGCAACAGTGTTGCGGACTATACTATAAGAATATTATGAGAATTTTAAAGAAAACAAAGCAAGTGAAAGGTCTATATTATTAAGTACCCTACGCTACTTTACAGTTATTTAGATAATGACTTTTCAAAAAGAGGCTCTATATGGGAACTGGACGACAAATTGATCCAATCCCAAGCATTCTCAAAAAAAGTTCGTCACACCCACCAATGATTACGGCCTATAAGTTGAACATAAGTTTACACGGGCAGGGATCAGACAGACGGACGGACGGGTGGACGGGCGGACAGACGGGCAAATCATCAACAAATCTCGAAAATTACAACCTGTGGATTGAACACTAATTTATATGGGGTGGACATTAGGCCGGCGGACAGACGGACAGACAGGCTTAGAATCATTTTCTGAATCGATTGGTATATTAATTATTTAAAAAGGTGAATCTATCTAAAGTCCTTTTGAATGTTACACACATCCGCACGCGCCACAAGTAATGTAAGGTATGAAAAGTGTACTGCATACTAAGATATAAATCAAGTCACGTTCGTTTAATATTAGACTACGAAATTTTTCAATGAATGACCCTGAATGGTTTCCCCTGATTAACGTGGCTTCAGTTATTGTTTATTCCATATATCATATCTAGGCATTGCATCTCTACAAAAAAAATTCTTTACATTAAAAAAAAAAAAAAAAAAAAACGATTCCAACCGCGCATACAAAGTATCTTAAAATTATTTTGTAATAATATTCACACCCAAAAAATGGGTTGAGTTGATGGTTGAAAAGTGAAGGACAAGACCGAGATATGACAGACATCGACAGCTAGTCATTCCGCCTGCTGTTCTATCAGCAATTTTGAAGTTACAAGCGTTTGTCAATAAGCATCATAAGTAACCATTGATATCATTCAACCTAAGCAAACGTGCCAGTTCAGTGTCTGTGCTTCGCCGATGAACTCTCATCTTTTTCTTCTTATTCTCATATTTTTCTATATTTTTTCTATTCTTTTCGTTCTTGGGTTTTTTTGTTTTCTTTTTTTTTTTTGCCGCATGATGCCTTCCTTCTATATGCGAGGGTAATAACTTTCATTTCAAGTTGATATGAAAGAAAATAAAATATGTATAAAAATGTATCAAAAAAAAAAAAAAAAAAAAAAAAACCATTTAACGTCATCATCAAATATCATCATTACGTTCTTCGCCTCGCTTTGCCTTTACTTCTGAAGTACCTTTTGTTTAGTATCCTGTGGCGTTTTTTTCTTTCTTTCTTCTCTCTTTGAATTTTTTTTCTTTTTCTCTTTGTTTTTTTCATATCTGTTAGTCATACAGTCATACTTCCTGATGCTTGTTATTTACATAGTATATAGACACCTACATATACCCTTGCATGTGCATATATATAAATACATATACATATATGTATATATATATATATATATGTATATATGTATATATATATATATATATATATACATATATAACCTGTTATATAGACACTGTGACGCTGTTGCTTCATTGGCAGTTAGCAGCAGTTGGGCAGGATAGGCAAAAAAAAAGCAAAAATAAAAAAAACCAAGCAAGCAAGCAAAGTAAGCTTGAAATTAGGTTTTTTAAGTTCCCACTTAAGTAATGCTTACAATTTA